ACCCATTGACCACTGGGATAGGCTCCAGTCCCCCCGCGACCCCATTAAGGAATAAGCGGTTACGAAAATGGATGGATGGATGGATATAAATAACATTTAGAAGACTCTCATGGAAATAGAGGACCATTCTGGAAAGAAAAAAAAAACATTTAGAGTTGCATAAATGACCATGAGCAGAGAAGCTAAAATTTGTCTAAAGGGTATAGTTCCAGCTGACCACCAGTGGGTGCATCATGCTGTGGGCCAGTTAGGTGTCTACTAGAACCGATGTTGTGCACTAAGTGGACGGAAAGGTAAGAAAAAAGGAATACTGCAGATTCTTCATCAGCATGGCCTCAAAGCAGCAGCTGCACAGGGAAAATTATGGAACCCAGCTCCATGGAACTGACCATGTTGGTCGAATTATTGAGGTTTTATTCATACATAAACCATTTGATGATTTTAGAATACTTGCAATCAATTAAATGTAACTCTCTAGAATTCGTCACTGTATTTGATTGTTTTTTAATTCAATTAATAAATGTAATCCCTACGACTTCAAGCACGTGTTGATGGTTAGATGTTGATTTTCTCATGAGGATACTGCAGAAAGCACAAACTAATTTGCCAAATTCCCCATGTGGGCTGGTATATCTGAACTACTGTAATCTAATCGCGTTCCCTCCTTGGCCGCAATGTAAGCTGTCATTTTCAAACTTCATTTTAACAATAGTGGTTCAAGATATCTAGGCATTTGCTACATTAGGTGGAGGATTTGTTGGGGCAGCAGCTCTGAATCATTCACAACCAGCTAGACTGGGCTGAGATGAGTTAGACCTTTTAGTAGCAGCTGATATGGGTTACTGATTTTGGGGTTTTTTGGGTGTTAAAAAGGGCTATAAAAAGGAGAAAAAATATGTTCATGCATGCCTGCATGTATTTTCACAATCATGCGCTCTTATGCGCACAATTCTGGCACGCCGGATACTTAATGTGTAAGTTGGGAACGACCCTCAGGTGGTCACAAGATCAGAGACCCACGTGGTATCCTTAACAGAGCCTGCTTTCATCACCTCCGAGGCCTTGTGATCTGTCTGCAGATCAGAGGGCTCGAGGAAATGCTCCATTTTCTATGGCCGAAACCACAGGGAAGAATTTGACATTTTTTAATCACATTTGATTTAGACGAGATTTTCTGAATTTTTAATCTAATGATGTGTTTTGTTTTGTTTTTAATGCACACCCTAACAGGATATAAAGGAACATTTGGACAGAATAATTGATATAATGCTGGGCAGTTCCTGTGCATGTGAACGATATGCCCCAGCCCCGTCCATTACAAATCCAACTGGATTTCTGCTGGCAGCTACAGAAAAAAGCTTGGTAATTCAATCTGCCTCGTGCCATGTGATAGCAAATATAATTGTGACCCGGAGGACGTTGTATGTTTTCAGCCTCTGCAAACAAGGTTGCATCTAAACCAATCCCTGTTTCAGGATAGAACATTTGTGTGTCTTGCTGTTAGCGTCTCTGGAGCAGACGGAAAAAAGAGAGTCTGGAAACCTACGGCACAAAAGCACCAGCAGCATCTGGTGGTGAGATGATTTCCCGGTGGAGTTTCTCAGGAGAACATTAAAAACCACAGTCTTCGACAACGCTAAAAACTACTGGCCCTCCAGCACCCATTTTCCTTATTGCTGACACTCCCCCCCAGCTTCTGAACCATAAGCAGGTAGAGCCATAAATCTACATACTTCATTTTCAAAGATTAAATTTTGCAAGCAGTTAACAGTAGGAAGTCATCTGCTGTGCTCATAATTTAAATAAAGTGATTTAATTTAACAGTAATGGTTCATAGACAGTAAACAGAAATTAAGAAAAAAAACCTGGTGATCAAAACCCTACGATCATAACTATAGATGACAGAAGTTTCTTGCAATCATGTCATTTTCAAACCTTCTGGCAAACTATTTTGGAAGTCACATGCCCATGTTGGCAGGTGACTTCCAAAATATGCTCCAAGTATCGTAAAGGGGGAAGCTTAAATAAGTAAACACACACAGAAAACTGCATAAGCACTCCGAAGATAAGTATTCTAAAGGGCTCTGAAACCCAAACGACCACGAAGGGAAGGAGGGGGCAGCCTGTGACTGTGTTTCCTGACCTGAATCCTAAGGCAGGTGTGTAAAGCAATGGGCAAACTGTACATACATTGCAACTGTATGGTAGTGAGAGCCTGAGTCGGAGTGCGTGCATTCTTCTAGAGATCGCTTGTGGGCAAAGGCAAGGCCAGTAATGAGTAGAGATGGCAGAAGATGAGTGGGAAGGAGGGAGCTGTGATGCAGCCAGTCTAAAAATAGCACCGCCTCCATATCCCCTCTCCCCCCGAACAATTTCCTCTGCAGTCCCACCATTTCTTTCTTCATCATCCGTCTGATGATATGAAATTACAGCGAGCTGTTCCACTGTCCCCGAAATGCCACCTCGTATTTCCTCTCATCCCGATGCAGAAACCTAGAATATAACTGGGCCAATTTCTGATACATCTGGATAATCTCATTTTAAGTTTACAAATCAATGATCTGAATTCACAATATAAAGAACATTCACTTAAATTGGCCCTTGAGTGACCTCAAGGAATCTTGTAGGGTCACTTGAAAACTGATTAAGCAGGAAAATGCCTTCATATGTTGAAAGGAGAAGAAGAGAACTGACCGAACAACGAGAAAATACACTGAAAAACTACTCACCTTTTTTTTTATTGTGTGATTTAAATTAAGAAGTGTTTTCACCCCTCTAAAATAGAATTATTCTTTTTTTTTTCTATAAAAGCAGTTTTTAAATATTCTGCATGCATTGCTGCATGGGTGAGAGCCAGAAAGGACACACCTGTTGAAAGAAAGACTCAAAACAAACTAATGTTGGCAGTAACTTAACAGTGTTGCTGGAAATAATATTGCACAGGGATGTTGCACACTAGATTGTTCTCTAATCTAAAGAAGTCACAAAGAAGCCATCTCTCTATCAACAGTAAAATGTGTTGTTGTTTTTTTGTTTTTATGTCAGAATGAATTAGAGTCATCTTGAAGACCTCTCTCAAAGTGCTGCACGGTGCTTTCTGTTCTGACCGAGGCCTGGAAACCATAGCAATGGTGCCTGCACATATCGGTTCCTTTTATGTTTTTCTGAGCTTTCATCAATTTGTGCTGTAGCAACACTTTGAGCAACAGATCTGCATCATCATCTGAACACACAAATCTGTTGCTTTTTACTTTAGGTTTTGCCATTACTCAAAACCACCATTTTGGTTCACAAAGGTTTTTGACAGTAGGAAATCAGCACTGCAGAAATTTTCTACATATACCCCACCTTATCTTGGCGTATAATCATTTTGTCAATATGGCAACTTGGCAGGGACATTGGAGATATATATATGTAAAAAATATATGTATATTTTTCACTGGTATGTTACCAAGCTACATTGTAAATTATTTTGCAAATTGTAGTCCATGGATTTTAGGCTATTTTTCAGTATATGACATTAACTTTGCTCTTGTTTTTGTTTTTTTGTTTTTTTAAGGGGAATTATTTTTATGTGCTGCAGCTTCAGCTAAGCAACTGAGTTAACAGTGTGACCCTCTTCATCTCCTCTCTGTTTATATGAAAGCTTAGAAAGGCCATGATCCACACATTTTTAAATATAATTATCCAGAGATAATTAGTTAATCATCCCATTATCTCAAACTGGCGAAGGTCGTTTGATGATAATGAATACGTTTATGTTGTAATCTCAAGATGACTTGAGCTAATTGAGCTTGTTTTGTTAAGATGATAGGTTAATATAGTTGATAGTTTGTTTAGTTTAATTGACACTTTTACACTTCAGGCTATCTATCTTATTTTTCCCGCTGAAGCCATCAATCACCACAAACAAACTCTTCCTAGAAACACAAACTCAGCTCGTCCTGATCTTACCCAGACAGTGAATGCCCCCCCGAGAGGTCTGTTGTGAGTGTTTTTGGGCTGGATGGAGTTGTGCGATCCTCTTTTAGCAACCTCACTACAAAGTGTGTGGCTCTACAGCACGGCGGGGTGGAACACTGAGACTGTGGGTGTTTGTGTGCGTGGTCTGATATTTACGGTGTCTCCGCAGTGCTGTAACGTGGAGGCGAGGGGGGTGAGATGGTATCTTGGTAACCTGCCTGATTGTTGACTCCATTTTGTAGACCTTTGTGCTCCCGCTCCTTGAGGGATACGAGGTGCAATAGGAGCGGAGGAAATGAAAGACAGGAGAGAGGTTGAGAGAGGTGAGAGAAGCAGAGGAGGGTAGAATTAGATGCTATCACGGTAACCTTGCGCTTTCATCGTGTACACTTTTCCACATTCACCGCCTGCCTGACCACCTTTAAGTGACTTATCAAAAGAGACCGAATGCAAGTTGGGGGAAAACAAGTAAAATCCACACGGAAAGGCCCAAGCTGAGAAAAACGTTGAAGGGACTAACTTTGGGATCATATGCAGAATGACAGGATGAACAGCTTTTCCTCTTATTAGCGCAAATACTTCAGCTTCAAACTGGACTTGACTAGAATGTTCTATAATATTCTGTTATGCTCAGTCACTCGAGCCGACATGGAAAGGAGGGCATCTTGTGACCATTAGAAAGACAGTAGAGACCACACAGTGGACTGAGATGAAGCAAAACAAAGAAGCTACAGAAATTGAAGGAATGAAAGTAAATTTACAGTTGTTCCTATGTGTGACATATATTCTTGAGTTGTTACCGTATCATACAGCATTCATTTCCTTCTTTTTGTTCCTCATATTCAAGCAGTTAAAGTACGATTTAAAAGGCTTTAATGTTACTTATTTGTTAGTTACAGTGTGTCAGATTGGTAGATGTATTGTACAAAGTCCTGCCTGCCAAACATTATGTCGTTTATGGTATAGAGTCTCTGGTGTTCAGCTCCTACAGAATGTGCAATAGGCATGTAAATGAACACATCCTCTGCTCCCCTTAGCTCTTCTCTATCGTGATATTCGGCTGCATTGCTAACGAGGGCTACATCAACCGCCCCAGTGAAGTGGAGGAGTACTGCATCTTCAATCGCAACCAAAACGCCTGCAACTACGGTGTGTTCATGGGCTCCATGGCCTTCCTCTGTTGCGTGGCCTTCCTGGCCCTGGATGTCTACTTCCCTCAGATCAGCAGTGTCAAAGACCGGAAGAAGGCTGTGCTGGCTGACATCGGCGTGTCAGGTAAACACAGGCAGCATATTTCATGCCGTATTTCTCCACAATTTTTAATACAAGTTAGCGAAATACTTTCTATTTTTTTTATATTTTCATTTCTCTAATCAAATTATTGTATGAATTTACAAACTAGGGTGTATGATTGAAACCAAAAGTTTCAAGATAATCTTGTCAGTAAAGAAAACATATTTAATTTACAGATGGCACATCTTATATTTATCGCTGATAAACATTTCACAATCCTGAAATTAACCTTATCCAGGTCAGTATCAAGCTGCTTCCCTGTTCAGCAGTAGCTATCATCCTGTTTTGCTCTCACTCTTTCTTCCATGGGCTTGCATCTGTAATCTTTCACAGCTTTTGGGCTGCTATACTGTGATAGTCTTCTCTCAGATATGCTAATTTTGCCAGCTGTTCGCAGTGCCTTTACAACACCTTTACAAGAAAAAAAATAAAAAGAGATTACCATCATCACGGAGAATGAGATGAGGTGTGTAAGGAACAATGAGCACACAGATACGACTGTGGCTGTAACGAGCCTCTGTGCTGTCGTGCTTTGGTGTGTCTGACAGTGTCGTTCTCTTCCTCTCTGCTGCTCTTCCTCCGCAGCGAAAACACTCACAACATAGTCAAGCACTGAGTCTGTTAATGAGGCAGCTCCTGTCACAGCCATGGTTTCCTTTCCTGTCCTCATCTGTCACAGACTACCTTCTTTTCTCTCATCGTACCTGCATGAGAGGGTTTGTGCGTCGGTTAAACGACTATTTATTTATGTTTTTAATCCGGTAGTCTGATGGGACCTGGATGTTTCTTATAAGCTTCATATGTTTCCCCCCTCATCACCGCCATCCATGCTCTGCTAATATCTTTCTCTTCTTTTGATTACCACTGCTGACTGGCTGGACAGAGTCATGTCTGTTTTTGTAATTCTAGCCCTTTTCCACACTGCTCTGAAAATTAGTCAACTTTTGTTGATAAGGTGATCTTGATGTTTTTCTTTCTCCACGACCTCTTGCTAATGTAACTAACCTTTGTTTGCTATGCACGCAATATCTAGTTAGGGCATTTAATTTTAGAAATAAATTACATAAAACATCGGAATGGTAGTCTTTCATTAAAACACTCAACACCACCTACAGCACCGGTATGACTCAACTCCCAGATCCACCACCAGTTCAGAGAAAGTCTCCCTTGTTTGCTCACTCTCAAACTTAATTTTCAGCTATGGCTGTCTCATAATTCTTTTTTGTGGGCATAAATGTTCTGTCCTCATTTCCAACCAGCAAATCTCCTTGGTTCAGAGGCCATAGTCAGTGAAGGATTCATGTTAGATAATGTGAGAAGGTTAAGCAAACAGATCTATTCAGGGAAAGTGGGTGACTCGCTCTTTTGAAGGTTTAGTCTGTCACAGTTAGAATGCCTTCGGCAGCTCACTGGCTGCCCAAAAGATCAGTTGCCCAACTTTACTCCAGCTCTAATCCCTGGACAAAGAAAGCACGAAGTCTGTTTCAAAACCTTTAAAAAACAAACAGGTTTCAAGCAATGTGGAATAGAGAGGGAATCAGTTCACAATAGTTTAGTGGTTGACATTTTTTATAAAAACTGATATTCATTTGAAGTGGTTTCAAGGATTTCCCACATGGTGCTCATAGCTGAACCGTTTAAGTTTAGCAATACCTGCCTAAATATATCAGACAACCTATTCACATATTTGTCTTTTTTTAAATCTCAGAGTAAAATCTACATCTACAAAGTAAGGATGGCAGCATAGAGACGAATCAATGTGAAGCCGTGAAATTGTAGTTGTTGAGCTTTGTGAAACATCTGCTTTTCTGGCTCAACCTTCCAGTCTGTCAGCTCAACATTTGTAAACCAAAAAAATGGATGATATTCCATAAAATACACAAATTTTCTGTCATGCGGGTTTAAAAACAAATGAGTCAAACTGAGTATGCATCACTGATTGATTGCTTGTTTTGTTTTTTTAACCATTAATCTGTTTTTTTTTTTTTTTTTTTTTTTTCCAGCGTTCTGGTCCTTCATGTGGTTTGTGGGTTTCTGTTTCCTGGCCAACCAGTGGCAGGTGACCAAGCAAGAGGACAACCCTCTGAGGGAGGGAGGTGATGCCGCGCGGGCTGCTATCACCTTTTCCTTCTTCTCCATCTTCACCTGGGTAAGAATCTCCTACAGGTCTCACTGCTCCACACAGTAAATGAACATATCAGTGCAGCAGCATTAGGTGAGCACCTCACTTCATATTTAACCATGTGTTGTTGAACTAAGCACCAACTCTCTTCTCCTTTACCTTTTTTTGCTTAACAGTATAGACACTAAACTATATAAAAAAGCTTTTTTTTTCATTTTAAATATGCAGGATGAGTCAAAAGTCACAAGACACCCTTTTATATAAGAAACAAAAGTAAGTAATGAATGAGGGAGCTATGGCCGTAATATCTTGAAAATCACCATTTTTTATTAAGGCCATTTTTTTCTAATAGTACGGTGGTCATGTAGCATATCCATTGCTGACACAATTATTTTCTTTTTTTAATATACTACATGACCAATTTCCCATTGGAAAAACTTGCCATTTATCTGATATAGTGGCTTTCTAGATGGCGGCCATGTTCTGGACGCACCCATTGCTTACTAGTCATTTTTCTTTCTCTTTTTCTGAAATAAAACTGTGTCCTGTGACTTTGGACTCGCCCTGTAGATATTTTGTATTGATGTGAACTGATGAGGGCTTGACTGTTTTTCCTACAGGGAGCTCAGACCCTCTTCTCTATGGAGAAATTAAAGAATGTGTCATTTGAAGAGGAATACACCAAGCTGTTCCCTCCTCAGCCCCATCAGCCCTTTGCCTGACACTGTTTCTGTCTTCTCCCCTGTTGCTGTAACCCTCTGCAGCTGCTCACACACTCACCGCTCTTCCTTTGCAGATGCTGAACATGTAGAGGGGCACCTGATATTGCCATGTACAGCAGGAATTGAGAGTAATCTTAACTATGCGTGAGATGGGTTATAATTAGTGGATGACACTCATGCCACCTGGACTCAGCTGTTGATTATTTCAAATGTGCAGACAATTAGATAACACATTTTTGCTTTGAAAACTTTCTATACATATTTATATATATATAAACTCATCCAAAGGCAGTAAAAGAGCAAGACAAAAATAAAGAAAAGCATGAAAAAGGTTATTGTTTTACAATATAATTGACTATTAAGCCATTATGAGTCTTTCCCATCCATTTAGATGTTTTATAGTGTCATCAGTGAATAAGCATTGTCGAGCTTGTGTGTATGGATTAGTAATTAATCAGTGTTAACTGACGACAGGATGCCCTTAAACGCCATCTTGTCCTTAATGATTTCTGTCTGTGTGTTTGTATATATATATATACACACACACACACACAGACAGACAGACAGACAGACAGACAGGTAGTTAGTAGGTAGGTAGGTAGGTTTTTTATGTTTAGTTTAGTGTTTTATGTTAATCTTCCCTCGCTGTACCTGTCTCATCAGGTTTGATAAGTAAATCTGTGGATGTGAAGCTTTTTAAGAGACAGATTGTGGTGCACTAACTTTATAAAATCATTGAAGTGTTACAGCTTTTGCTGTTTCACGGTGCAGCTTCTCTGTAGTTTTGTAACACACACTGACACTGCTTGATTGTCTTACAATTTTTCCTCTTTAGTGTTAGGTTGTGTTTCTCGTTACTAAGCTGGACAATGTACGTAGGCTTTTTCCGCTGCTGCCCTTCGAAGTCGCCTACTGTGACTGACTAAATGGCTCATTTAAACTATCTAATCAGCTTCACAAGCTTTCCAGCCTACTAATCAATGTGCCCTTCTTCTTCTTTTCCCTCTGCTCTAACACGGCCGCTTCCACATCCACCATCCCACCATTCAATTTGCCATCTCTGTGGCTTTTTTTTCCCTTCTGTCCGTCTCTATTTCCGATCATCGTTTCCACGTCTCTAAGGCGGGCCAGTCTTTCCTGGCTTTCCAGAGATACAAGCTGGGGGCCGACTCGGCGCTGTTCTCCCAAGAATACACAGATCCCAGCCAGGATGCGGCCGGGGCCCCCTACACGGCTTTTGGCGGCGACGACGTGGAGAGCCCGAGCGGAGGGGGGGGCCAGCCCAACAGCGACGCAGCGTTCGATGGCACCGGAGGCTACCAGCGTCAAGACTACTGAGATGTTTGCCGATTCCGATTTGCTTTGGGAGGGACGGAGTTGCCCAAAGATTCTAGTTTGAAATAATATTTGTTGTGTTTCCGTCACGCTGAAAAGCACTGAGTCAAATTGACGCAGTCTGTGGTTGCCACTGGATCAGCGCCGTGCAGTTCTCTGTTTTCATCCTGTATCTAGTTTTTTGTCCCTACGCTCAAAAAAATGGCCTTCCAAACAAAAAAAAACGATTTCATTCTGATTCAAATAATAACAGATTAGACTTTAATTAGTATTGAAGCGGTTAGTGAAACAGCAATCTCCAGACGCAGTTTTAGCTTACAGTGACATGAATGAGTTGAGATTATATTTTGAAAAAAATAATGAGAAACAAGGAAACAATAACTTAAAAATTGCTTGAGAGGGCTGGAGGTTTAGGAGACTCTTTTTATGTCCTAGAAGTTGGAAGAATGGCCACAATGCTCGTGACCACATTACTTTCATCCTCTGGGGTATGTCCGTCAGCATATTACTGCAGTCAGTGTTTGCTAGATGAGACCCACATACAGAGATTTCCAATATATCGATTTAAGCTGTTGAGTATAGCAGCATATCACCATGAACAACTCAACTCTGGCAACTCAACCCTTCATCTGTTTTACAAATGTGTTTTTCTATGTGTGTATTTTAAAAAAAGGTTTGTTTTTTTATGTTTTTGCAATGTGTGGATTTGAAACAGTGTGTTTTCTTGTTTCTCTGTTTCTTCACTGTCTCCTCAATTGTTGCCTTAGTGCTGACTGCCAAGCTAGCTCTGACAAACAGGATGGCATACAGTATGCCCAACGTGCACCACAGTTGTTTTTTTTCACAGATTTTTATGGTAAAAGTAAACTGATTGCATTTGATTTCGTTTTGTTTTTTGTTTGTCTTTGAACACATGTAACCTCTGACCATAGTCAAGCTTTTGTTGGCAGTTTGGTTTCCCAAACAGCAAAGACATACATTTCTGATCAATCAATGAACAAAAAAGTTCCTGCAGGTAAAGATTTGTCTGCTATCTCCTCTGCTTTATTTCAACAACTCTACAAATGTGGCAACCAAGAACATCCTGAGTATTTATGAACATGCATTGCTTCACTTTCTTAAAGAACAAAGTATACTTATCTCTATAAATATTTGTAAATCTATAATTCTGTATATCACAGTGTTTGAAGAAAGAGTGCTTTATTTTAGGGCATTATGCTAGTTATAAAATGTATAAAAAGAAAAGACAGAAGAGAGAAGCTCCATGGTCTGTTAAGTGTTAATGTGATAAGATATAAGGTATGATGGAGCTGTCTGTGCCTCATCCTTTCTGTTGCTGTCCAGGTAGAGATGTTTTTATTTTGGAATAAAGATATCAGCTGTTAAAAGTTTTAAAAATTACCAAATTATTTAAGTATGTATATGCATACATATATATACTTTACATCTGTGTATTTGTAGGATTGTGCGTGTTCATATGTGAAATCTGTTTTGAAAAAAAAGCAAAGAAAGACTTAAGAAAAATAATGTGTAGAAATGTCTGTTTTTGATGCTTTGAGTTCAACCTATAATAATGAATAAAGGTGTTGATCAAGATACGAATGATTGGCTATAGATTCATGGCTTAGCTTTTCTTTGTTTTGTTTTGTCATAATTGCTATATTTTCCTTTACATATATCATAGTACATTCTCTCCTATATAATTTCCCTCTACCGGACAGATTTATACCAGTATTTATGTTTTATTGTATATTTTTTGTTTATAATAGCCTGATCAAAATGAGCTTCCAGTACTTTTTTTTATCAGCTAGTGACTTTGTGAGAGGAACTGTGTGCTTGTGATTGATGCTGGATGGAGCTCTTTTTTTCACGTTAAAGGTTTGAGATCAAAAATATTCTGGACTGCATTGTGAGTGTTTTTTTGTTTTTGTTTTTTAGCAACCGGTTACTTTCTTCTTAAGCTTCTTTTTTTTTGAGCAACCAGTTACTGTTTTCTAAAGCATTTGTCATATCAAGAAACACAGCCAGTCCCTTCACTTCATTAGAAAGAGAGCTTCCATGTTTTCCTTACTCTGCGTTGTCCTGAAAAGATTTCTCTTCAGCTGTGACTGCTAGCAACGGGATTTATCGACAGATTTATGAGATCTCTGAGAGGATCATCACAGGCTTTATGGCTACAGTCTCATGCTTCCATTGTTGTCATGGTTCCGCCTCAGGAGCATCATCACAGCTTCATTTAAAAACAAACAAACAACATTCAGATCTTCTACTTTTTCACTCTTCCAGTAGTGAAAAGCTTTAATTCCACTGAGAACTTGTTGCATCCTGGCAGGAAATGATAACTCACTCATGGCACAACAATATTGTTACAAATCCCAACTAAAACTCACCCCACAGCTTACACACTTGTTAAAGTAAATTAAGTTATACTGTATATAACTGCATTAAAAAGAATTGCAAATGTGTTCTTTTCAAATAAGCCTAGAGTCCCTTTTTCTCCAACAATGTTGGCTATTAGACCTGACATGTTGAAGTAAATATACGGTAAAATGTTCTTTAATTTAGCACAGACACACCAAAACCGTTGTATTAAGAAGTTTTGAGTGATATTATGAGTTGCAGTTCTTGAAATGTCCGTAGAGTGGCGGCATTGTTAATGAAACTCGAAAACAGGCTGCCATATAGGTGCTATTTTTAGGAATTGATCTTGTTTAAATATTAGGTTAATTCAAGATTATGTCTGATTTATTTATGTGTATTTGATGATTATATATATTTCAAACATTTTGTTTTTTGCTCCCCTTTTTCCTTTTTGGAGAACGAATATTTGACCAATATTGCTGCGTTCACAGCCATCGGGTATTTAACAAACCAGAGTTAAATTCTAAACAATGGAAAGACAAAGAGGGGAAATATCCGTAGAAAATCACAGAAAGAAAAACTACGCTTGTTCGTAAGTAAATCGATTATTTTATTTATTTTTTTTGCTTAAGATGTTTAAGATGTTAGCATCAACACAATACATGCACGCATGAGATGTTGTATCCAACTTGATTAGAACAGTGGCTTAGAATGACTGATAAGGCATACACTTTTGCAACCCCACTGACAGGTTGTATTTTTACGTATTGTACACTAAGTTTACATCCATGAAGCAATGATTTGCACCTCCACGTCCTGAACGCATCAAACACCGTCCAACATGGCGGCGCAGCGTAGGAATTTGATGCAGAGTGTAAGTAACATAACTGCTCTATAACACTCTCGTTGACACTTGTGATCGTGGTGCATACGTGTTAGAAACTGCCGTGCCCTCGTCGATCATCCTCCGTGGTCGTTTCAGTTGTTTTAAGCCGTTCAGCGTTGATTTGTGTCACTCAGGGATGCTAGTGCTAGCTAGTTTAGCTGAGCTCATTAAGTGATTTGTACAGAGTTAACTAAAAACCAACATTTAAAAGCCACAATAATGCAATGTATCGTTGTCGTCTGAACTCAGAAGGTATGATCAGGATTCAAAGTGGTTAGTTATGTTACTAACCATTTATCTCCTTGACATATGTGTGCAGACTCAATGTGTGAATTAGCTTCTAGCTAGACCCTGTGTATGTGTTTATGTTTGCGGGATTTCATACCAAACTGTGATACAACAAGAGTGATCAAGCTTTTGTGCAAAGATTGACAAGGATGCTTATTAGTTTTCAACACGCTTTTGCTGATGTGCTTGAGTTAATTTCGATCGACATTTTGGCTACATTAAACCATAACAAATTATAACAAGCATATCAAGTTGTGGTTTCAGATTTACCCTCACACTCAGTAAATAATGCTTTATTGTGTTTTAAGATGTTTCAAATCGCTCAACACATATTTTACCTTAGCAGCACCAGAGCTGGACAGATGATCTGCCATTGTGTCAGATGTGTGGAGTTGGCACAGCACCCAACTGTGTGTATGGCTCAGATGGTAAAGGAACCCAGAGCCACCCTATGGAGGATGGACACCTGAGGCTCAGGTAAATTAAGGCCAATGAAACTGTTTTGAAGTGTGGAATAGTACGCCAAATATAAAGAGAAAACTGTGAACAGTGATTCATGTTCAGTGTCGGCATCTCTGATTTTAAATAACGATTTGGAGAAGCATCTGTGTAACTGATGTGATGGAGTAAATAGTTATATAGCTGTTACCCACTGCATTACCAGGTTAGCTACCTCTTATGGTTAAGATGATTTTGAAGGTACCATTCTCAACTGATCAGTTTGATTTTTTGGACGAAAGAAAATACAAACAAAAACTAAGATAATGTGTTTGTTGTAAATGTGCCTATCAGATTTATAGTTAGAGATAAAAGATCCTATCTTTTCTAGTTTTTCTTTACTTTTTTTCCCTTTTGTTGTGTTTTGTTGACCAATTAGAGGTGAAGACGGCTGTTTCCTGTATGGGGTTTTTAATGGTTATGATGGCAGTAGAGTGGCCAGCTTTACCGCTCAGTGTCTGACCGCTGAGCTCCTGCTTGGGCAGCTGAATTCCAGTCACACAGACAACGACGTCCGAAGGATCCTCACACAGGTCCATGTTCATTTTTCCTCTTGTTGTATATCTAAACTGCATCCTAACCGACTCAACACATCTCACCTGTCTTTAGTGATGATGTTAGAAATATTTTGATATTGATTCATTCATTTTACAATGCAGCACATGACAGTTGGAAATGATAAGATTGTATTCTATGCCATTGTTCTTAGTTTTATCATCTTTGCTGTGTGTCCTGGTTATCGAGCCACATCATGAGCCGTGTTTTACCGTAATACTGTGTGCTTGCTGCCACAGGCATTTGATGTGGTGGAGAAGAACTACTTTGATTCAATAGATGACGCTCTGGCTGAGAAGGCACACCTGTCCAACTACATTCTGCCACACAATGAGGTACATGCGTATGCGCGCACACATATTCCAAAGCATGTGGACGAATTAAGCTGAAAATTGAAGGCGGGAGCTAGTTTCCATAGCAACTGCAGATTGGCCCGTTAGTGTGAGTTGATACTTGGCCATAGCAGAATCAGCCTGTTGTGCGCTAATAATGTTATTATGGAAGTTGGCCTGAGTTCTTTCCTCCTCACTCACCTTTTTGTCTTTTTCCCAATTTTAAGTAGTTAATTAGTCCACTGTGCACCTTGTGCAACCTTGTGTCTGTTTATCCCTTTTCGTTTCAATCCACCTAACAAATCTGATTTTGTCTCTCCTTCGTTCTTCCGTCCTTTTCACCTGTCCTCCCACTCTGTGTCTGTATCATCTCCATCCCTTCCATTTTTCCTGGCTGGCCTCCTCCATTGCACCAGCTTTCTCCTCAGAGTCAGAAGGTGCAGGAGCGGCTGAAGGAGCTGGAGCAGGAGGTGTCGGGAGGTGCTACGGCAGTGGTGGCACTGATGCTCAACAACAAGCTCTACGTTGCTAACGTCGGTAGGGACACATGCCATTTCCCTCGTTTATCCGAAAGCTCATGTTCACCATTAACAATGAAAGGAGCTGACTTCAATATGTGAATAACACCATCCAATTATAGACGATTGTCATCTGACATCTGCTTTACTCCAGCAGATGTCACACTTTACACAGATTTGCAGATGGTGTTTGCTCTTTGGTTTTTAATAGATATAGCTTATGTTGCGTTCTCCATTGTGTGAAGCCAGGGTTGCTTCCTTTGTTTATCTCTGATAAAATCTCACATGTAGCCTGCGTCTTGCCAAATGACAACTTTGGCAAGCTCCAGCTCTCCTCACTATATCTGAGCAGAATGGAGGCACGTATCGCAAGTAAATGAGTCATTTGATGGTTGAGAGAACCACTGTGTTATAATGGGCCGCATTCATAGGCTTTGATGTGACTAAAATTGTTTGATATTCGGATAGTTCGTCTTGAAGGTACATTTGGATCATAATTCCTAGTATTACTAGGAACTTGTACGTGGCATGACATCATCTGGCTGTCAGAACTAGAGCTTCCACAAAAATCCATAAAAGCCATAAAAATCCCATCTTGACTCTGCTGCTATTTTTAGCTGCTGGAGGCACAGCGTCAGCTTTAGGCAATATGAGCTGTCCAGTCACAGACTTTTATCCTGTTTGCTGCTTTTAACCCACAGCTTTTAGTAGGTTTGTATCTAACCACCCATTCATGATGACAGAATCAACGCGTCTGCACCTCTGAGTGGTGGAACACATATATTTAAAAGAAAACCCACTTGTTCTTTTGGTGCTCGGTGAAGTGTATTCATGTGTCTCTGTTTTTCTCAGCGTGTTGTAAAAGTTCTGCTCTGTGTTGTGGCGGCCAGCTGGGTTCCTGCCCAGTAGTCCAAAGCAGGCTGACATGTAGTATTTCTTTCTGTCAAAAATCATTCCACAATAAGAAGGATGAGAGCAAAGAAACCACTGCAACTGCTTTCCAGTAATGAGTTTGTTTTGGTCTGAGAATCCAGTGCTGTTCCAGATTTGATGTAGTTCTCTGTTGGACTGTTGCATTTTCCGCCTGTAGGATGCTCAGGTAACGACCGGAGTCATAAAAAGGTCATAAAGAGAGAACAAGAACTTTGCCCCCAAAGTTTCTTATGGCCAGGAGATTGATGGCTGTTGTTGACTATTCATTCATAAATCCCTGTTGCAAATAAAACTCCGGCAGACCTCAGCGTTAGTCATGGAGGCTTGGTTCTCACTTGGTACCGGTTTTTATGAGTGCAGCTGCTTGATCTGCAAGTCAGAAAACGACGACTGTCATTAATGTGTACACATGATCAGCTTATTATTTAAGATCCAAGCACAATAAGCTACTGTGTGCCTAAAAATGTTTTTTACTTTAACGTTGTATCCCAGCTGCTCCTTCTTATTGGTGTTTTGTCTAATAAAACCTAATATGTTCCGATTGTCAGAAAGGCATTAATAAACTACCGTGTAGTAAAGTCTAGAGGTTTTATCCCTTTACTCATCAAGCGGTAGTCTTCAGAAGATGGTAAAAAGAAATGAGTCATGTGGCAAAGTATCGGCCTTTCAAATGCAAGTCCGAAGCACTCTCAGATCATGTACTTAAATTGGTTAGTCTGGAGCTTCCTAAAGTTTAAAAGATGCCTCTTTTTCTCAGTTGATTCATTTCAGTTTTTTTATATTTTCTACAAGTAAAAAGAAAATGCTTTCTGAAGCTTTGACAGAATTATGCCTGCTGGCTTTTTGTAAAAAGCTGCCTCGGCTGCTTTGTTGATAGCTTTTTTTTTATGTATTGATCGGACAAAAAATATAAAGTAAAAGCAATTTTGATTGTGGTCAGGCCCTCTCAAACACAAAATTAAAAACACAGCCCAGAGCTTCAGTAAGCCTCACAGTGGCAGACCTTTGAGGTTGTTTGAGATAGTTTTAAGTAAAGTGCCTTGTGTCAGTAAAGTGCCTTTTCTTGCACATATTCCTTTACTGAACAGAAATGTCACCGTTCAGACTGATGCTAGCCTAGCCGTCCTTTTCAATCTGTCAGCAATTAAAACAAAACACCAACCCCCTCCAATGTAATTGATAGTAAGCACATCTTTCCTCACAAATAAAAATGAGCAGAGGTGAGAGCTCACAGTCGTTTCATCTCTACTCCGCCATGACAAGCAGAATCGTCTATTGGAGAGAGATAAGATGTGCTTTATAGTAGCTTAATTTCTCCCTTTGAAACGCTCGCCTGTGTCTTCAGGTACCAACCGAGTTCTGCTTTGCAAGTCCAGCAGTGATGGCCAGAATCAGGTTCTTCAGATCGGCCGACCACACAGCACGGACAACGAGGAAGAGCTCCAGAGACTGGCCGCGCTGGGTGAGACCCACAGGCAGAAGCATCCTGCTTTTTGCTCCTATTCAGAGAAATAGGTGCTCAGTAGCTGACTTCAGAGACTCTATGCACACCCTGTAGATCCCAAAGAGACCATTAGAAAATTTTATGAGCGTGAAAAAAAGGGAACATATTATCATCGATTGGTTTTGACGTTATTTAACCAGACTGTGTGGCGTCAGCTATGGGTGGCAGAATAGGGAAGTTTGCAGGGGGTTTTATAGTCTCAGAAATTCAGCGAAATTACATCATACCTTGGAAGATGCTAATTAGTCATGTGAGTTTATTATTTAGTTTATTGAGATCTTCCTGCTGTGAATGAAAAACAGAAATGTGAACACGACTATTGAACAGGACTAATGTGTGGAAAGGAGCCTAATTTCCCTTCTTCCTTGGCCTTTTTATTTTCTTCTTAAAAGCTGCTTTTTCCACATGTTTTTATGTCATTGACTTGGCAGCAGTGCCCGCCGATTGTTGCACACACTCTCACCAGCCTTCACCCAAGGCAGACTGTCCATCTAACTGTCCAGCTCTGGGTTTTTTCACACATGCCTGTTCTTGTGTTCCTCCCTCCCTTACTGTGCCCTTCAGTTGCGTTCTACAGCAGGCGGATAAACTTTGCTCTCCTGTTCCACCTGCAAAATGTATTGCTCCCGCCTTTGCTCTTACGAAAAACACTCTCTCCCATACAGCCTCATGGTCTGCTCCGCTGTGTGTCCAATGTGTCTCGTGCCCTGCAGGTGTGGATTCAGCCCGCGTGCGGCAAGCGGTGCAGATAGCTGGACAGAGCAGCACCAGGAGGCTCGGAGACTACAGGGTGAAAATTAACTACAATGAAATCGACTTGCTCAGGTTAATCCTTTAAGCGTTCTTAGCGTATGTTTTTTTTTTAAAAATATTTTGAGATGGGGGTTTCTGAGCTGGAGCAGTTTCACTGCTTACACAGTGTCAAGTTTTAATCTGCTGCCTTATAGTTTGACAAGTGAACAAACTAGATTCAACGCCAGGCCCAACGCTGAAAGACATGAGTTGGGGAATATTTATAAAAAATGGAAAGAAGTCAGTATTTTCCATCTGCTGTTAGATAAAAGAGTAAATCTTCTCATGCAATTCCCAGAGAGAAAGCAGGGAATAAGGGAATATTTTCATCGAGCAAAACATTTTAGATAAAAGTCTCTTCTGGACTTCTGGACCTGCAGTGATGGCTGGCTCATTCGTTTCTCGTGACTGTTCCATTCTCCGGCTCAACCCAGTTGAGATTTGCAGTAATTCTTTTCTCACACTCCTCATCTCCTCTGCTTCTCTGCTGCAAACCAGGGTGACTTTTGAATGATTCCAATTACGATCCTCAACGAGACACACAGTATAATCTTGGTAGAATTTTGTCCTTGGCGGTTAAAGATCGAAAGAAATTCGATGCCAAATGCACAAAGTGTGAGTGGTGCTTTGGATCAATGAGATTATTTTGGTTATCTCAGGCCAGAGTCACGTAAGATTCTGTTCATCTCCCTTTTTCTCCATGCGTATAGTCTCCCAGTCCTTTATTTTTATTCTGTGTCTCGCCTTTTAACTGTCTCACCTTCGTCACATTTTCTTTCATTTTACTGCTATTCATGGTTCTCTTCTTGTTCCATCTTCCACTTGTCCATCCCCCCTTGTTCTCTTCCACCTTCAGTGCGGCCAAGGCCAAGCCAGTCATCGCCGAGCCGGAGATTCATGGCAGTCACTCTCTGGATGGTGTGACGGGCTTCTTGTTGCTGATGTCTGAGGGTTTAATAAATGCTCTGGAGTCTGCTCATGGCCCAGAGCAGGTCAATCAGGTTTGCAAATAATTCTTGAGTAAACATTTCCATGTGCCTTTATGTAAAATGTCCCTTTTCAATGACATGTAAAGGAGCCACTCCTTTCTGCCCTGCTTCTTCTGACCCTTTACTTTCTTCCATCTCCCTCTACTTATTACCCTGCTTGCTGATATCATTTTGCTGTGCTGTCGTTTTCCTTTTTTGTTTTTGTAGTTACAACTCCGGTTTCTTGGCCACTTTGGTATCCCCTGATGTTTGTTTTTTTCAGTCCTCCCTCTCTTATCATCTTTCCTGATTGGAATCTTGTGCTCATGTCCTCTCCCATTCTATTGCATTTAATTCTATTCATGTGCCCTCACCTCTTTCGTTCTCAACCCCCTACCTCTCTGCTGTACTCGGTAGGAAATTGTTGCCATGGTTGCAGCAGAGCTGGCCCAGCAGAGCAGTCTGGAGGCAGTGGCTCAGTCCGTGGTGGAGAGGGTCAAGCGGCTTCACCATGACGTCTACGTGTCTGGCCGTCAGAGGGCGACCTACTGTTCCCGGCACGAGGACATGACCCTGCTCATCCGGACCCTCAGTTACCCTCTGGCAGACGCAGCGCTCACACCCACACAGGGTAGGAGCCTTCATTCTGGGAATGTCTGCCCAGAGAAAAACGCTTTCAGAATGCTCACACCATGACAGTGTTTTTTTCTAAGCCTCAGAATCCGAGCGGTGATGTTTTACTCATGCAGAACACTGGACCAATGGACCAGTGGACCAATGGCATTCAACCTTTTTGGCTTGTAACCTTTCAAAACAAAGCCAGCTCTGAACCTATCATCAAAGTTCCATATTTACATGCATAATTAGAGTAATTTGTTCTCTGGTATGTTATTTACTTCTGAAAAAGTCTAAAGATTCCGAGAAGCTTGACTCAATGATATTTATCATTCAAAGCAGACAACGTAGTTCAACATCTTAACTGACGCACCAAACGGGGCAAACCACATAAAGGCAAACAGGAAGTTGCCTGGGTGAAATGTAGCTAATGTAGCTCAAGCTGTATTCTCAAGAATTACAATTCAAGCTTTATAACTTCCCCCTCCTCTTCTTTAGTTGGCCATTGGGTATCACAAAGTAGTTTTTCAGGAAAGTCTGTCTCATTTGTCTCATTATTTTCAGTCTATGCAACCACTCCTTTATTCATGACTGTACGCACATAGCCTTCAGGTTGCCCAGACTGAATAATGCACCTAGATCCCTTCTCCATTCCAGGAGATGGTGTCTTCTTAAAGTAGTTGTAGTTCGTGCATCCCAGCAACAGTATTAGGAAACGAAAACACTAGACGCTTGAATAATAAGACTGAAATTGGGTGAGACTATATACGCTTAAGAATGGGATGTAGAAATGTTATAAGACATGGATTAGATATCGAAAGTAATTCATTCACAGTTAAAGAACATAGATGTCTTGAATATTTCCTTTACCAACAATTATAAAAACAAGATTGATTTAGGAGACTTAGAAGAAAACATTGAACATATCGAACAATATTGAATATTGATCACTAATACTAAAAGATATTCAACTAACAGAGTTTAATTAAAAGCCAAACAGACAGGCCTCAGGCTTTCCTTTAAGAACTGTTCTTCCAGCCAGGAGCATAAAAACTAAAAGCTGCTTCTCAGTATATTTTAGTCCCCGCTTCAGGAATAAAAAATAGACCACCCCCTTTTTCCTGCGGGATAAATACTTCGGACTAGGACCATTAAGAGCTTTAAAGAATTTTAAAATCAGTATGAAATCAGACATGAAGTTAATGCAGAGTCATTAGCCCCCTCTCTGGTTTTTGAGGAGCTGTAATGGATTTCTTGTAGTTATTTTTTAGGATGACCAAAAAGGAAAGTGTTACAATAATCTATTTGATGGGTGATAGAAGCTTTAAGCTTCCTCGGAGGATTAAAGAAAATTATTGAAGTTTTAAAAGCGTTCTTCAAGACCAACGGCCAAGCCTTGTGTTTTGTTTTCTGGTTTAGCTGTGAAGAAACCGTGACTTCAGGATTCACAGCAGGCGGCTGTTTTGACGCGCTGCTTCTTGCCATTTTTTTGGCCTGTCAGGGTCCTCAGAAAAAGACATCTGTCGCTGACGATGCTAAATGGACTAAAAATAACGAGGCTTCGTTTTTGTGCTGAAACCACGCACTGGCCTCAGTGTTTTCCAGAGTAACAGTGCTGCCACAAAATTAAAGAAGTGGCTTACTCAAAGGTTTGCCTGTCAATACAACCCAAATGCAGTCAAATGCGATGTTGTTTCGGTTCCTTGTCTGTGAGCGCCCCTGGTCCTCTTTCAGGTGGCCGCATCTACCCCGTGTCGGTGCCATACTCCAATAGCCAGAGCACCAGTAAAACCAGCGTCACCCTCTCCCTGGTAATGCCCTCCCAAGGAACCCTCACCAATGGGACCAACACCACCTCCACCCTGGAGGAAGGCACCCCTACGCCAGGGTAAGCTCACGCTTTCTTTTGTCCCAGATGATCCTATCTCTAGTTTTCCTTTCACCACGTTTCCTTAATCATCTTTTCTATTTCTTTTTTTTTTTTTTGTGACCAAATGCTGTTGAGTGTTTGTTTTTTCTGAATTCGCCTCATTCCTTTGTTCCTCACATTTGTACTCTTGGTGAGCCTCTGTCCGGCTCCACACACGCACACACACACACACACACACCTCCCTGCTGCTAAGCTTATTTCTGCTGTGTTTCTTTCATAAGCAGAATGAGACTCCATTGTCGCTTTGTTTATTTTAAAAAAGCCAGAGTTTCCGTCCTCTGTGTTTATTTATGTGCAAGAGGCGTTTTTGTATTCCTGTAGCTGTGCTGTGGTTTCCTCCTGTGTGACACTCGACTGCCTGCACACCAACTGCAAATGTACCACGAAATTGTGAAAGTTGTTGCCACGATAGAGCCATTTTTTCACACTGAAATTGGAGGAGAAACACTAATAATCATTTCTCAGTTTAATCATTTTTGTTTTCAATGGCCATGAAATTTCATTCCCCAGCCCTTTAATCCACCTGAGCGTAAAGTATGTGTTGGTTATCGCACTATAAACATATGACACTGGAGATGGAAAATGATTTGACTCTGACCGGGTCTCCATCTCATGGGGTAGCGGCTGGGAATGCTGCCCTGTAGTACAGTGTGTCTTACTGTGAGTGGCACTCTGTGTACAACTTAAGCTTTCAGACATGGCTGCTGCCTTGGGGCTGCTGTGTGTGTGTGTGTGTGTGTGTGTGTGTGTTCTGTTTTTCTTTTTTTCTCCCCTTTTGGCAGTCATCATTATCGATTACAACCCCGGCTTCTTTCCCTTTTATGTGATTTTCTCTTGGCTGTCATGCTCACATCTGTGTCTCTCTTCCTCATGCACTCCTGGGTTTCCATTATCCATTCCCTCACCACGACACTCCGTCCTTGCCTCTCCTTATTCCACTCCTTTAGCTTGTTTCACCCGACTACCTGCCAAGCTCCTGTCGACATCTTAAAGCCCATAATTGAACTTCCTCGTTTCCCTCTTTCTTCACTCCCTCTGTCCTCCTCTGCCTTCTCTCTTTCCACCACCACCACCGCTCCTTCCCACCCCCTCCCCATCTCCACTTCCCTCTTTTGTCTCTCCACCCGTGACATGGACCTCTTCTCCTCCTGTGATACCCCCACCAGCACCTCCTCCTCCACCTCTTCTATTCCGACCCTTACGCCCGTCTCCTCCTCTTCCTCCTCCTCTCTGCCCAGCAGCCAGAGCCCCACGGCCACCCTCCAGTCCACCAACACGCAGACACAGAGCTCCAGCTCCAGCTCGGGGGACGGGAGCCTGTTTCGTCAGAGGGGGAGCCAGGCCGCCCAGCCGGATGAGACGGGACGGGTGCCGCCCTACGTGGACTTCACTCAGTTTTACCGACTGTGGGCAAGTGACAATAGTGATAGTCAGAGCACCCAGGGGGGCCTGGGGCTGCAGTAAAGGCGGGTGGACGGTACCGTTCGGAAGAAGACGGACAGGATTTTCCGGCAGCAGGAAAGTACCTGGACTTTAAGAGGTGGCTGGAGCGATTGATGCATACTTTTCATGTTTCTCACCAGATTGTAAATGACGTAACATGGCATGTGGACAGAACTGGGAAAGACTGTGTTTTTAGACCTCTTGTTACAGGGTGCAACCTGTGAGACTGTTGTGGGCGGGTTGGTGGGGGACGGGGGTCGATGTTTGTTAAATGGATGTTTGGCATCCTGTAATAAACAAACATGACACCATGTATGTAATCCAGACTTTAGAATTTAATATCAAATGTAAAAGCAGGATCTGGAAGTATTTGGAGTTAAGAATGATTCAACACAGCAAGGCCTTAAAATGTGATGAATGACGATGTTCGAAGTGCTTTATTTGTAATGAAAATACAGCATATCTCCAGATTATTCGTGAGTTTGTGGGAGCTTTTTCTTCAGAATCTTTCTTAACACACACAACATCTTTGATGCTGGGTTTCACCTGAAAGAAATAATTTGATACTTTGACTTTAATCAATTTTCATTGATTAATGAAATACTGAACAAGCCTCAGAGCCCCCAGCAGCTAACTAGAGACACCCCCTCTCTCTTCACTTCCAACAATTTAAATTTCCTTTTCAGCACAGGTAATTTCCCTCAGTTGGAAACTGGATTACGAAAAAACAAAAGCCAACTGTAAGCAACTATTGGTAAGAGTCTATAATTACATCTAACCTCTTATTTTTTGAATAATGGACCTAAATCTGATGTTATTGTCTCAACAAACACATTCAAATGGCAGAAACAAATATGCATGTGTTCATATTTTTGCAGGATGAGGGTCTGTTATATATTGTGTGGGAGGGCCTGTATAACGGCTCATTCCTATAATGATTTAAACCTAAAAAACGATAATTGACACGAGCTTCACGTGAACGATCTGAACTGTGTGGTATTGAAGCAGGCACGGAAATCTAGGTGACTAATACGCATTCACTCCAAGGGGCCCTTTAGAGACGCCAGGTAACTAATTTGTCCCAATCTCAGGCCCCACCCTTTGCCAATACCATTTCTGGTTCCATATCACTTTATAACCACCAAAAGAAAAGCAGAACCTACCCAACCTGTTAAAAACGTGATGTAAGGTAAAGTGCAAAGGCGAGTCCTGCTACAACTCTGTGGCCGGTATCGGGCCAGTCTATTGTTCTTTTTACGCCCACGCAGTGGAACGTCTTTGCAGAACAATCTGCAGTCCAAATCTTTCAAATGCACAGGATTTGGCATCAAAAAGGAATCAATTGTTATCTTAAGACGGCGAATAATTGTTAAATCTCTGCTTTATACTACTAGCTACCTTTGACTCTAATCTTTATGACCTCTTGTTGTAACATGTCTCAAACAGAATACTGTTCCTTTAGCTCGGCCACTCCCGTGACTTGAATTTGTTGACGTCTTGCCAGGCTTGCAGCGACATTTCAGTGGAACTTAAACCGTAATAACAGATCTTGAGTTTACCCTCACTTTTATCACGGTTTACGTGATAAAAACGAACCCTGCAACTGGAGTCTTGAGACTGCAGCGAGCGTAATTCAGAACCTGACATTTTTATCATCGTCTCTGAATACATTTGCAACAATGAGAAAAAGTTTATCAACCATAATTACCGAAATCTGTGTTTTATTTTTCTTTAATCTGAGCCATATTAAAATCTTTCCTGATGTGGGCTAAAAGAAATGTAGCAGTTACACATTAACCTGCCTCCCTGTGGGTGTGTCAAGGCAGTAAAAGAAACAAAAAAAACAAAAGCCGGATTCTTTGTATGCGATCTGTCAAATCATCTTTGGCGGTTCAAACACACACCTCCCATTAGTCCCGGGATCCTCAATGTTACATTTCATCTGGAGGCGGACGGCAGCTCAACAGACAGGAGATGGTTCATCTGAAGCTGGACAAGTTACAACACGTCGTTCCCCGACTATAATTCGGAGGCAAAAACTGGGGGTGAGGAGATTGAGAACGGTAAACAGAAAGCTTTCTCTGTCTTTCTGCTTTTTTGTTAGCACCTTGACGTGGCCTCAGGTGTACCGCTGCTCTACATTTGTATGTGGGAAACTGATCCAGCTGTTTCTGGATTATCCCTTCAGCTGAGGCGTTGTTGGGCAGTCCTGCCACTTAGGTTTGCACTGTCTGTCTTTGCTGAACATCACGCTGATATCAGAGAGACCTCTAATATTTGAGCTTTTTATGTTACCTATTTGTGTTTTCCTTATTTATATTTTTTTTAATTCATCATTATAATCATATTTGTCAACAAAGATTGGATATTAGGAGTGGCGGCCAGTGAAACACTTCGCAAACTGAATGTATTTTGGTCGGATTGTTTCCTCTTCTAAAAATAAGTCAAATATCCACCAACGCAGCTATTTTTAAGATTTTATATCAAAATATGGACAAAAACATGTTTAGACTTGGAAAAGTGGTTGTGTTTTTCTGCGCACACATTTGTATGTCCACTACCATTTGCCTCCAGATCCAGATTTCTGTCCGTCTTTGTGTGGGATTAAGGAATTTTATCAGCGGGAAGCTCTGGACAGCAGTAATGTTTATATGTTTGAATTTGGATCAAAGTTGGTTGTATCTTCAGTGTAATCTGAGAGGACCACTCTGATGAATACTTTACAGTCACTGCCAGATTCTGGGGTCCTCTGCGGGGACAGAAGCTCGCTGTTTTGTGCCTATGTAGAATGTTTGCCTTTTTCACAAAGCTTCGCCTGTCGCTTTTTTCACCCAAAAATATGTTTGTGAACTCACAGCGTGGCGTAAACTTGTTCTATAAGGAATTAAAATTCTGTTCACTGCTGCTTCAGCTCCAAAAAATGTGCATGACAAAAGGCGCTGTGCTCTGAATCGATCCAGAAGCTCACAGTTTTAAATTTGTCCAGGCTCCCTAATGCAGACATTTCAAATAGCAGACAGATGATAAAATAATAAATGTTTTTTAAACCATTAAAAAGCAGATTCTGCCCTCAGTCGTGCCTCAAACAAAATTATCCGTGTTCTGCTTTTCTTTGTTTGCTATCAGGACTTGATGAACGCATAAAAAAAAGAAATCTTTATGAGGGTTGTGTTTGAACATATGTTACGTATTCAAACACGACTGCAGCTCAAACAAGTGTCCCCATGTCCTGTGTAAAGGCTGGCATCCACATAACCGTTTAACTGATAGACATTTATAAGCTCTAGTTAGCAGTCACCAAAGAAAGAAATTTCATATCCAAAACCTGCAAGAGGTGGACTTTATGTCCAACCATCCATATTGGGGTTAACTCTTACTAGATGGCTTTGCTGCATGAGGCCTCTTGTTGCCAGAGCCAACATGTCAGACTCTCAGTTGATGCTTCGCACAGACTGACATCAAATTTTGATAAACAGAAGAGGCCGCCTGATGTGTGGGTCTCCAAAAAGCCTCCTGCGAACGGCCGCTGATTGCTCAGAGGGAGAGCGAATGCTGACTTTGAAGATGCCAGAGCCAGCTGAGGGATGTTGCACTCCGGGAGGCCTCGCGTCCAGCTGGATACGCTGCACAACAAGCCGAGGTGCTGCCAACCCCACTCACGCGCTGATTCTAACGCTCATTAAAACGTAATGGATCATCGACCACTGCCAAATAACCAGCACCTGGACATTCTACCCTCTCTCGGGAGAGCTGTTTTCCACCCCGACCGAGACTTTGAGGAAAAAGGCCGGCATCACGTAGCAGCACACTAACCCCCGAAACCGCTGGAGTC